CGAGCACGCTTCCCTGTGCGACACTAGATAACGGCGCTGACGGCGCGAGTGGCGCGAGCCGCAAGCGTTGCGCAAGCGGCACTCGCGGGGCAAGGAGGTTGCTCGAAGAAGCGGGAGAAGCGAAGAGAGAGGCTTCAGTTGCCCTAGCGACGGAGGGACGCACGCACGTGTCGTTGACGTGCGTGCGTCCCTCCGCTTCCTTGAAAACATCCGAAACAACCGCAATGACAGACCAATCGCAGGTCGAGAAGTGTTCGCGCGCGTCGCATGCCGGTCGCGGGCCGGCTGCTTGTCCGTAAATATGGCATCGGTTGTGATCAACGTTGTGATCGTCGTCTTAGACGGCGTTCATCTCATCGTTCCGCGTAAAAGCGCTATCCTTTACTGTGAATTTTCGCTGTGTGTCGCTATGATAACCCAGCACGTACTAGAAGGGAAGATCCACCTACTCGAGCGGCGATGTCGTGGCGGCGCTCTCAAGACGGCAGAAACGCCCGTGTCGTCGTGTTTGTTTACTTCGACTACAGTGGTGATTATTTCTAAGCATTTGTGTGCTCAAACATCGCCCGGATTTCTTATTTGGCGCACTTCATGCGTGTGCTCAAGTTCAAGGTATTACTGGCGCGTACCGTATGAAGGATGCGAATTTTCACGCGTTTTCATCTCCGGAGAAAAGGGATTAGGGTTAGCAATCCTGAACGCTCGCAACGTCCGTCAGCAACCCGCGACGCCGTTAAAAGGCTGCGCCAGGCAAAAGCCGCTCATTTCTTTCAAAATGTGTGACACACTTGAGAGAGAAGTGTACTAGTCTGGTGAAATAAAGACTTTCCTCAAACTAAGCTTTATTTTTCATCTCACATAAAATAAATTGTTTTACAAAGGTAAGTTGTCTCATGGCATGTATTTTGGCCTGAAAAATTGATGTTTTGGTTATAACGCGGTACCGCTTATAGTGCGGATTTTCGCGACTCCCGCGACATACGTTATATGCGGTCTACACTGTACACTGAATAGTTTACAAATGCGGGCATACTAAAGTGTGAAGCCAGATATCTGAACCCCGCGAATATACAAAATATGTGCAGGAAAACTAGCAGATCGCCATTTCTGCTTTACCTCTATTTTTTTCACACAAATGCAGCTATGTTATGCTTCCTTTCAATTTCGTGCTTTCCCCCAAACCACGCATTGCCTGCCCGTAGATATCCGTCATCATTCCCTTTTTGGGTAGTACTTCAATTTTTTCAACACTTAATAGTTTTCTGCAAGCTGACTATCGATGGTCGACTAAAAGCCAACTATCGATTGCACTAATGCTAGTACTTTTGATAGCCAACTATCGATATCTGACTATCGATAGTCAACTATTGGTAATGCTATTGACGGTACTATCAGTCCATGCATTTTTTTCAGGGGGCTGAAGTGGCTGAATGTCCATGACTTGGGGTGCGGAGAGGGGGAAGCGGGGCCAAAATGAATGTGTATATCATAAGGTCGGCTGGATTTCGGGGTGCGGGGCTGAAACCCCAATACCCCCCAGTTTCGCTCCTGGGTACCATCGATAGTACTACTGATATAAGAGTACTACAGTCGAACCCGACTATATCGAACCCGTTTACATCAAATTATTCCTTATATCGAACAATTTTTGTGCACAGTAATGCTACAGTGATAATACATAGCAAAAACTATGGTTTCATAGAACATAAAAAGCAGCCGCTACCAGGGGCGTGTTTAGAGGGGGAATCCGGATGTCCTGACCCCCTCTTGATTTCTGCATGTGTAAAATTTAGGGCGTGAAACGAGGGGGTTCCTAAACAAATGGTACGCTGACCAACACCTGACCCCCCCCTCAGGATATCCCTGCATCCGCCCCTGGCCGCTGCTGATATATCGAACTGCCAAGAGCGCCGTTTGCTCTGTAAGCTGGCTTTCCCCCACCGCGAGCAGCCGCAATGCGGGAAAGCCAGCTTGCAAAGCACGCTGGCTTTTTTTTGAAAGAAAGCTGCCTCGTCAGCCGCTTGTAAAAATAAAAAAAAAATTGCAGAGGGAGCGTAGATGGTGCTCCGTGCTCCCTCTCCCCTCTCCCCGCTCCGTCCGCAAAAGAGAATGTTATTTTTTCTTCTGGGCGGCTGATGCGGTTGCCCGAAAGAAATAAAAGCCAGCTTGCTCTGCTAGCTGGCTTTCCCCCAATGCAGCCGCCTTTCTTGGGGGAAAGCCAACTTGGAGCAAAACGACGCACTGCAGAAGAAGGTGTTCGTGCTCGGGCTTGTTCCGTATTCCCGGAATAGTTCGGCGCGAATATAGAAGGCAGCGGCCTCAGCATTTTGGAGTCCGTCGATAGCGTAGAAAAATATTGTTAGCGCGGATGCAACGAAGAAAAAGCAGCTGAAGAGGCAAGACTATTTCATTGTGTAATATGTCAGCAGAAAGTGGATTTTTGAGTCAAAATCATTAAAACGTTTATATCGAATTATTCGCTATATCGAACTGGTAGACGTTTTTTTGCGAGTTCGATATAAACAGGTTTAACTGCATTGATACTTGACTCGATAGTACTATGATTGTCCATTATTGACAATTTTTGACACGATCATAAGTTTTCCAAAACTATCGATAGTATCTATGGTAAATTTTTTGGTAGTGGTGCATCACTACTCGCATGTCATTGTAAGGCATTTTCCCACTTATTGAGGGATCATGAGAGGATACCGAGGTGTGCCGGAGGCACAGCAGAGCTTCCACGGTTATGGCAATTAGTGAATCTTCTTCATTTTCAGCGTTTCCTTCTTTTAGAAGAGGGTCGAACATTGTCGTGCCAACCTTGGCCAGAAAAGCTAAGTCAATGCCCTGCCGCAGTCTCCTCCTACGACACCTGTATTCTTCTAGGTCATCGTCTTGCATTCTTTTTTTCGAGAACATAAAAGCTCAGAGACCTTGACGTTTGTCATACTCTAAACAACTTATGCGGTCACATAATTTCGTCGATTTCGCCAAGTATAAATTGCGAGAATATTTAGTGGGCACGACACGTTATGATTGGAAGTGGTTCGCTACATACCGGTTACAACAGAGGGATGTATTAGAGCGATAAATGCTTCTCAATACTTCTAAATCGTGAAATTCGTCAAAATTAGTTATTCGCAAAAGTTAGTCCGTTTTAGTATTTGATGCGGTTGCTGAGGCAGTAAAGAACCATATTTCGTTGTCTAATAAAAATATAAAAGAATCTAAAAACTGTGATAAATTTAGAATAGAAAACCTCAAAAAGAAAAGCCATCGTTAAGAAAAAAGTTGTTGTTGATGTTCTTTCATTGGTAAAATGCTTTCTAGGCTGTCGTTTCAATGACCTAACCACGCGAGGATCCTGACGGGGCAAGCAGGTGCCAAGATGCTAGGAGAATGGCGGCTTGTTTTTCTTCAGTTTTAGATTATTGTCGAGCCCAAAGTACGGTAGGAGCTACGTGCCGGCCGGGCCATTCGACCCCCTTCTTTCGTTGCCAGACCCTGCTCTGCACGTAGGTGTGGCCGGTGACGTAACCACGTAGGGAAAACTAGGCGTACGACCTCGGTACGACGGTCCAAAGAGCCCGTAGCATCCACGGCACTGCCGGTACTTTAAGTCCGAGGGTCAAAGTGAAGGCTAGCGTCAAGCAGTGTTGCCAGTGTGGAGAAAAATGTCTGGAGAATTTTTGTAAATATCTGTAGATAGAAATAATTACCCGCCTTCTCAAAAGTTTACGTCAATTCGCAGCTTACTTTGTGTTGGCTTACCCCTCGTTATTTTCGCTAGGTGGCGCAAGCTACCGCTCAATCTTTCAATCTCAAAGTTGGTCGTAGTTCAATCTCTGATCTTGCGCTTTCTTTTGTGGTCACGTTTGTGGTGCACTGCGACCCTTCGCAGGCTTAGCTTTTCCTATTTGGGATTCCCACAGCTTGCTATTTTATGTAACAATGCCGAATCAAAAGGAACCTGATAGCAGCTCTTCAACGCCACCGAAGAAGAAACGTCATGAGCTAAATATAACGTGGAGGGGGCCGAAGAAGAAAGGCGATGGCTCTCTTCTAGCAAGAAGGGCCCCACCTTTGCCTAAGTGTGCAACATGCACACTTAGCAATAGGCAACCCTGACCGCCACACGACTACGGTGAAAGACAAAGAAAATTGCGAGGAGTTGGTGCAACAGCCTACGATCCTTCAGGCAACACCAACTCGGGAGTCACCGTCAGACGAGCTGGCCAAAGAAGTCCAGAGGCATACCTGTCCTCCCAAACAAAACACACAGAAAACAAATGGGGAATTTGGAAATATCTGGAGAAATTATCTATCGATCTGTATATTTACTCAAAAATCTGTAGATATCCAGATATATCTGTAAGCGCGACAACACTGGCATCAAGTTAGTTGTCTAAAATTATGGGTATCGTAGGCATTTTTCTATAAACCCTCGCCATTTACGTCGTACGTAGAACTACCCATGTATTAGCTCGCAAGAAAGGAGCGGCTTTTGTTTTCACTTTGCCGAGCTTGCATAGGAAGTTGTTTCTCTAGCGACCTTATTTCTTTGCTGCGGGAGTGAGGCTATTTTCTGCTATCAAAAGTTGTCACTTCAAAAAAAGAGCACTAATGTACTGAACATGTGAAACAATTAATATTATTGCGCGATATTTCGTAATAATAAGCGAAATTTCAATTATATTCTTAAAAAAAGGTCACTACCTGTTGTTTGAGTGACGTTACAGGTTTAATTTTGACGTGCTATCTAGACACGTGCAGTTTTGTACACGTTTGTGTAACTTATCAGTTGCACCTTTTGCCTGCTTTCATGTACAGTTTACGGGTGATTACTAGTCAAGGAATAAAGCTGCGTTACCAGTTGCATTGTTTATGTGCTACCCAGTCGAGTAGTTTCTTGGAGAAATGAAGCATGCTGGTAAAGTTGCGGCGTTGGAGGTGAGTTACATAAACAACGAGAATAAAAAGAGATGCATCAATTTCAATTCGTATTTGAATTCATATTTTAATTTTTTCAATTCGTATTTGAAAATGTGAATATTCGCACTCCCGCAGTTTTAAGGCATAACCAAGGTCTCTTGCTCCCGACAAGATCGCTCGGTTATCTTCTCGGCAACGTGCCTCCGTGTCTTGGCACCACATCCCCGCTTGCGTCAAGCTTCCCTGCCTCGCACGGGTGCTCGTGCATCAATCTTCACCACTTTGCATCGGTGTGCTAGGAGCAGCGTCTGGTGCGGGGGGGGACCTGGGTTAGTGCAGTTGGCTTAAATATTACTATGGTCTCTGCTATTACAGATGAACCTTTCGTTTTGAGCGTAATTTGTTTTGCCCAAAATACCTTTTTTGTAAGCAAAATGTTCTGTTGTCTCTATCGTTTTCCGCATGCATGTACTCTGACTTCGGGGTCGCGGAAATTGGGGAGGAGATGCGTAAACAAAGTGAAGTGTCTTTCACTTCTTCGTTTCGCTTTGTCACGGACGTCCTCCAACTGTAAAGTCCATGGCCGCGTCATTCGGGTAGGATGAATGTTCGCGGATTGCAGAGTCCGCGTTGGGGTATTTGTAAGGGCCAGGATCACTCTGTGGAACTCGGTAATCGCCCAATAAATGGGGTGGGCGATGACTCGGAGATGGGCAACGACTCGGGATATTACGGCAGTTTTATCCAGTTCCACGAGCATGATGTTGAGGTAATGAGGGCCCTTAAGATGTAGTGCTGTGAAGTCGGCATGCGAAAGCTCTACCTGCTTGTGCAGCTTAGGATATGGACGAGTTGGCAAAGTCGTTACGCTTATTTCTTGCAGGCCGAATGCTGAAGTGAAAAAGTGTTGTTTGAAATGTAGATTCTCTCGAGTGAAATGCTTAGTAATTAGAAGGCGGAACAATGACTTTAGACACAATTTTCCTAAAAATTAACACAAAAAAAATATGCAACATGAGCCAACCGGTGTTTCTAAGAAAAGAACCGTTTTTCTCACACACACACAAAAAAAAAAGTGCATCGCTGAGAGCTTAGTTTCTGCCGAGAAGGTAGCAGCGGCGGTTGAGACCAGACACCAAAATTTCGGAGCTTATCGTTACGCAATTAAAATAGTTATTTAAAAAAAAACTTTTAACACTTAAATGGAGTCCAATGATGTACACGAATGCGTCTGGACGTGTAGCGTCTACTGCTTAGAACAGGTCCCAATTTCTCGTAAAAAACATTCGTAAAAGGCTCATAAATTTTGAACGAGATAATGGCAAGCTCCGAAACTTCAGAACGAGGGACCGTAACTCCTTCCTACCTTCCAAAACGTTTTATTTACACGGCGATCCTTTCCGACTTGTAGTAAGCGTCGCACGCGCGACGTTGTGGGACCGAGAAGGCCATTCACGGCTGGTCCTCCTCCTCCTCGGCGTAGATGGCCCGGTTTCTCCGCTTCATCATCTTGCTGGCCGAGGAGGGCTGTGCCTGGGGCCTCTCCCGGGGTGTCTCCTGTGCCTCGGGAAATGCGTCCGCACCGAAAGGGGCGGCTTCCAGCGGGCTGCCGAACTCCCGCAGGTGCACCTTGCGGCGCTCCAGCGAGCTCATCTCCAGCAGCGGCAGGGGCTCTTCCCCTGCCAGGTCCTGAAACAAGATGGCCCAGGAGGAGCGGCTCAGCATTGTCGGCACAGCCGGCTCCCGTGCGGAAGAAACCCCACTCTGCTTTGTTTTGGCGGTGCAGAGTGAATGCTTCAGACCCCCCGAGCCAATCGGAGCAATGGAGCCAAAGCGCGTGATGGCCCTTAGCAAAGGTATAGGGGCTAGAGCGTAATGCAAGCAGTTGTTGCATAAGGAGGAACTCCCCTCCACCGTATTTGCAACTCTCGGACGTCGCTTTTGTACCCCTAGGAGCCTGTCACTCGACATTCGTACACAAGTGGCTTTCCTCCTTGGCTTTGACGCACGCTAGTAGTGAGCTGGAGTATGGCCATGCGTCTCTTTCAGACGCATTGACTGGCTCATTGAGACCGTAGCCTTTGCCATTCGGCGAGTTACAGTGAGACCCTCGGTGTTTATTGTACCACTGGTTGCTTCACTGCAAAGAGTTTCGTCCTAGATATGATCTCGTGAAATTTCGGCACATGGCTCCGTTCCTGCGAAGCAGCGGCATGGCCAGGAGTTCTTTTTTTGGGGGCGGGGAGGAAGGGGGGTTGAATGAGTGAGTGAGGTGAGGTGACCGGGATGTTCATGACCTGAAGTGCAGAGGGGGGATGGAGGGAGCCAAAATGCGTGTGTATATTATAGGGCCGGCTGGATTTTGGGTGGGGGGAGGGGCTGAAACCTTAGGAGTTCCGCCCCTGGCTGTGCCACAGCCGTGAACAGCATGGTTTACGGTTCCAACTAGAGATGTCAGAAACCTTCTGAGGTTCGAATTCAAATAGGTTCAGAAATTCGGAACCTTATTAAAGGGGCACTGACACATCAAAATCTAATTTTTTTTTATTATCCGAAACGGTCGAAAACGATGCCGGGACATTACCCTCAAAATTTGAAATTTGGGAATTCAGTATTCGTGAAGTAAAAAAACAATTTCCAAATGCCGAATTCGAAGTTCCCGCGCGATCGGCGCCGGTGCCTTGACGTCAAAAATTGCGGAGACCTGAGAGTCCCCTTTCCTGTCACCACTCCCTGCTGTTGCCATGGCGACCCAAAGCGAGGAGGAAAGGAGCGAGCGCCGGCTAGCGCCGGCGTTGCGGCGGACCGGTTTTGAGCGGTGTCGCCTGTTTTCCGTTGGAGGATACAAATCCAGGAGACGGCACCACAACGAACTCCCGATTTTTGGTATTTCAAAAAGAAGGGCCGTAGTGCGTTCGCAATTGCGTTAAAAAACATGTTTTAGGATTGCCGTCATTAAATGTTATAAAGATGCCGCCTACAAAGCTTCTAAATTTCCTGATTTTTGACGTCACCGATCAAAAGAAGCGAGGAGGCGAGAGGCGGGAAAATCAAACGCCAAAAATAAAAAGGTGCGCGTGCGCGCGGGAAAATTTTTTTTCGCGATGCGGTTTTTTTTGCGCATCTATGGCTGCAACTTGCATCGTTTTAGACAATAAAAATAAATACGACCTTTGGGGTGTCAGTGCCCCTTTAGGTTTGAATTTGAACGGGGATCTTATTCCGCAGTTTTAAAAAAATGTTTTTTTCAGATTCAATGATAAAAAAAATTGTGTAAAGTGTAATTCCTTAAACAATGTAGCACATTTATTTATGGCACAAACACTTCCTTTCAGAGTACTTTTTGTTGTATCGTAATTCCCGAAACGAACGATTCAGTGAAAAGCCTCAAGGCGGTCTGGCGAACGTCCCTCCGACCTCTCTGCAAACTGGCAGCAATCCGATTGAACATTGCCTAATTGCTACGCTAGCATTAAACGGCAGAATACATACAAGACGATACATGCAGATAAGTGCACCCTAACATTTCTCTCCCTGCAAGTTTTCAGTTGTCCGGACGTCTATATCCGGTGGATCCAGCTGGCAGAGTATGGGTACCTGGTCCTCGTCGTCGCCTCCTTCGCCGGCCCCGTCGCCCTCCTCGTCCGAGGGGCGGGTGTCGTTGAGGCCCTCGGGAGGCGGGCTTCCCCGCGTGGCCTCCTCGTGGCCCAGGAAGCTGGAGACGTCCAGGGATGGGGCCCCCTTGCCCGGCGACAGGGCCCGCTCCAGGGGGTCCCGGAGCCCCAGCCGCCGGCACAGCGCCTGCGTCTGGGGGTTCAGGTGGGGCCGGGGGCGGCCGGGGCTGCGCTCCGAGCCCGGCACGTGGGGCGGGGCCGTCCGCTCGAAGGAGGCCGGCACGTGGAGGTCGCCCGACAGTATCGCCTCCCGCAGCTCTCGCTTCTCCTCCTCGCTCGGCGTGAACTCCCAGCTGCGGCGGTTCACAGGCCTTAGGAACCACCACACTTCGCCTGACCTTAATAGGAGACCACTGGTCCGATTTAAATGACATTTACAGGGGTTGTTTCTGTTGATGTTGAGAACATTTGTGCCGAATTTTGTTAACTGACTGAAGTACCAAAAGAATTGCAAATGCTTAAAGATGAAAGTGGGCGTGTCTGCGTAAGAAAACTATCATTTTGAAATTACTGATAAATTTGTCGTTTTTATATGTTATATTGCTTTAGGACAGCTCAGAGCAGATAGCTATGGAGCTATATTACTATATTATAGACGCTTTCAGGGAGTCAGTTACTCGAGCTGCCACCAGTCGGCGCGCCCTCTGGGCTGCCATAGCCGACCTTCAGTTTCTTGCCTTTGCTTCGCGTTGTGTGCTGCACCGGCCACCGCCAGAGCTTTATTTTCGTGTTCTTTTTCGTTCCGCGTTGAAATCACGTGTTTTATTTAAGTATTTTTGATATTTCGGGCTTTCATTCGTATCATATGATATCTATGTTTCAACATAGCTCTTGTATTTTCTTATTTATGGAATGGAATCAGCGAATGGATTGACGATACAAGATTATGGCCTAGTCTTCAGAGACCATGTAAGTTCATCACATTCTTTCGTTTTTGTCGCTAATAAAGGGCAGTCAACACCATTCCGACATATGGAAATTTCAACTGACGCAGTCGTGATTCTCGCTGCATGTGCGTGCTTTAGACATTGTTTCCATAAAGCCGAACCGCATGTAAGCGATTTAGCGAGCGATGAAACGAGCGACGGCGACAACGACGAGAGTCGGCGACAAAAAATTTTCAGTCGCCCGTCGCGTCGCTCGGTTTTTGGATTTCTGGAAAAGGTCGCTCACCGTCTTGGTCGCTTGCTCCCGTCGCTTCCATGCGGTTTGCCTCGTCACGCGATAGACCGAGCGACAGCGAAGCGGGTCGCCGCCGCTTGTCTCGTAGCTCGCAAAATCGCTTACATGTGGTTTATACTTAATTAATTTCGATGCACACAGCACTGAACCATTGGCGCCTCGATATTAAGTATAAATCGCATGCAAGCGATTTGGCGAGCAACGAGACAAGCGACGGCGACCCGCTTCGCTGTCGCTCGGTCAGTCGCGCGACGAGGCAAACTGCAGGAAAACGACGGAAGCAAGTGACCAACACGGTAAGAGACGTTTTCGAGAAATTCAAAAACTGAGCAACGCGACAGGCGACAGTGAGAAATCTCCGTCGCTCGCTGACTCTCGTTGTCGCCGTCGCTCGTCTCGTCGCTCGCTAAAGCGCTTACATGTGGTTCGGCTTTTGTTTACATGCGGTTCGGCTTTAGACAAACAATGTCTAAAGCACACACATGCAACGAGAAGCACGACTGCGATAGCCTTACTGCTTCAGTTGAAATTTGCATACTGCCCTTTATTGGCCACAAAAACGAAAGAATGTGATGAACTTACATGGCCTCTGAAGCCTATATGCCATAATCTTGTATCGTTCATCCGTTCGCTGTCTGATTCCATTCCATAAATAAGAAAATACAAGAGCTATGTTGAGACATACATATCAAATGATTAAATCAAAGCCCGAAATATCCAAAAGACCTAAAGAAAACACAAGGTTTCAACGTGGAATGTAAAAGAACACGAAAACAAAGCTCCGGTGGTGGCCGGTGCAGCACACAACGCGGAGCAACGGCGAGAAACTGAAGATCGGCGATGGCGGCAGGGTCACGTGACGTCAAGATGGCAGTGCCCATGAAATGTTGCCTGAAAGGGTCTATACCATCTTCCATGACGAAAAAGCCACATGAACACAAACACTGTTTGTTACATTTCCATCCCTTGTCTAAAACCTGAATGTAAACATATTAGGTAGAGATCTGTATGGTTAAGAAATAAATTGACTGAAAAAATTCAAACTCTAACCGAATTTGAGTAAAAATTGGGGCTCCAATCCACGCTGTGAAGGTGGTTAGTCAGCAAAGCTGTGGCATTACCTGCAACGATTGCCCACTCCACTATACGAAATGCCGCCGCCGGTCGTAGTACACCGCTGCTGGTCGTATTGCTCTTTCTTTTCCCTTTGCCGCTCCTAGTATTCACGCTGCTCCTCGGGAGTACGAACTATGCGTGGCCTATTCATCGCGGTGCTGCAGCGACAATCAAATCAGTTGCTGTACTCCGTTTCATCTTACGTTTAAGCGCAGCAGATGCTACGAGCCATCGGAGCCAATCGAAGGCCGTGTGAGTGTCACGTGACCTTAGAGAGGGGGCACAGTGACGCGCGGAAAGCATGTCACAGGCCACGTCCACAGAACGGGATTGGCTAAGATAGCTCGTAGCATCCGCTGCGTCCGGACATAAGGTGAAACGGGGTATAGGCAGGTTCTTCTTTTATATATAAAAGGCTAGTGACCTCACTTCCCACGCCGCAAGCTGCCGTTGCTGCGACAGCAGGCGCTGTTATCATCTGTTATGCAGTTTGCACTTCACACGAGGGCTTCGAATGACGTCAGCCCCTTTCGAAGCAACTGCAAACCTAATCTTTACCGGAACGCGTGGGAGGGTGTTCCTATTGGTCACACGCGCCTTATCATGCATCATGTGGTTTTGATGCTTGTTCTGTGGTTTTCTTCATTGATAGGGATACTGAGCTGTATGCTGTATGCCTGATTTCAAAGGAGATATGCTGTTTTGCCTTCAATTGTTTGCCGGGAGTTTTTTTGCTTACAACGACGACGTGAAAATTTCCTTGGCTGGTAGAGCCTTATCCTTATTAAAAACAAAATACCCTATGTTCTCCAGAGGTTCTAAAAAAACAAAACAAAAAAAAACGAGTTAGAGGTGAATTCTGGCGTATTTGTGGCTAGTGAATTTGATTGTCGCCAAAAGTTTATCTGAGCGTATTGATAGTCGCGAGAAAAACTGAAAAACGAACCGCTGGGTGTGACGTTGTACCTGGACGTTTCAACTGCTTCGCACATGCTGCTTGCGAAAGAACGCACATGTCGTTTTTGAATCTTCAGGCAATCCTCCCGGAAGGTGCCGAAATGTCGAGATCTTCGTATAATACGTCGCAATGCCCTCGTCCCACCGAACGTGCCGGAAAGGAAGGGCTCCAACATTTAATTTGAAAGTGCCGTCGTGGCTACTTGGTACAGCCAAGTACAATTTTGATATTTGCGATTCTGGACGCTAATAAAACAACTTAATTGCTTTTTCTCGAATACAGAACCGCTTCAGTTTCCCTTTGAAGAGTCGGTGCAACGATTTTCGAACTGACCGGTGAATCACGAGAATTGTTTCGTGTCACCTATAGAATGAAGAGCAGTAAACCATACTTTTCTCGCGCATTATCAGTAACATAAAAAAAAAATAAAAGAAATGGAAAATCGGGGTACCCTCAACTAGCACCGTCTATCGAATCGTGCATCGCCCATATTAGCCAGACACGAGGAATGTGCCGTGTGTATATGAGGGGAAACGTTCGCAGTAAAATGATTTTAAAAGAAAAACGAGAAACCTTTCTTACGTTAATGTGAGTACCTGAGATCCCCGTACACGCCGGTGTTATGCACGTACCACACTGCCTTACTGTTAAACACCAGTGTGCGACTTCTAGCACTGGTGCAGGCACTGAAGGCACTCTAGAATAAAAATACCAGTCATGCGCGAAATGTGCATTTTGAGTTTGAAGCGAATACAAGCGGTTTTGGCCGAGTATTATAGTTTCTCCGAGCCTTTCGCTACTGCAGCACCATGCTTAAACGAAAACGCGGCTGAACTCCTGAAGGTTCTTCCCAAGCTTCCTCTTGTCCATTTATAAAATTATTTTAATCTACTTACGTAAATGATGGATCTGATCTGGTAAGTAAATGATGGATCTGACAAAAACTAAACGTATAGAGATGCCCAGCTACGCCTAATTGTGTGGATTTTAAAATCTTGCTATATGCAAATATTGTCACCAATGACAAATGACAAAAGGCGGCGAATAACTGAAGAAACTTAACATTTAATGGGGTGAACTTGTGCCCAAAAGTAAAATAGAAGAAGGTTAGCGCCGCAGGCGTCGATGTCGGCGAAACAGCAGGATGAAGCGCTGGGGCGAAACTGACTCCACCTCGCAACGCAGAGCACCTTTTGTACCCGCGTGAATTTCTGGAACATTCGACGTAGAACTTTCGGCACGTAGACCATTCTAACTCGATCAGACGACAATGTTCTTGAACTTACGGGAACACCAAGTTGAAGGAGTAAATAAAAGAACATTCCGCTCCCTAGAATCGAACCTAGACCCTCCGCGCGACAGCCAAGCGCGGTAACCATTCGGCCACGCACGCGCTCGCTCACTCGACATCGTGAGTGGCAATATTTTTTTTCAGTCTCAAATATGAAGAAGAAAAAAATAAAGGGAATCACAAACGATCAACGTGGGTTGTCGGGGCATCTCTGCCTAACATATATAGCACACTCTCGCATAACAGCCAAAGTTCCACTTTTAAAAATTTTACTGCAATGTTGATATCAACTTTCACAAAGTTTCTATTTCTCTTTAAATATACCAGGTAAGCACATGCACCATTTCGCTTTGAAAGTGTGCTTTTCTCCCGAAGCAAGCAATTGCAATATTCACATTTTTCCGAATGTTGATCGCTGCAGATTACTCCGTTGAGTGTGCTTCTTACCGTGCACCGCTGCACCGTGGAGAAGCAGCACCAGCGGGAGCAAGCTCCACAGCTGTGGCTTCTCCGCAGTGCACGGGACTAACCTGCTGCGATCAAAACTTTGTAAAATATGAATATTACAGTTCATCTCGAGGCGAATATTGAATAGCCTATTATTTGAAACTACTATTCTACATTTCAAATATTTGCACTACACTGAAGAATACTATAGTAGTAGCAGAAAAAAATTGTGCGACGATCACACAGTGTTTATGCATTTAGACAGTGACAGCGGTGCTGCTTATTCGACGATATGACAATGACGATTGATTGACGATGCGCCGATCGTGCATCATTCGGTGATTTGATATTGAAATGACGTTGCGGGGATTTAGCGTTGATATGCTGCTGGTGAATAAATGACTCTAAGGTCGCGATGTGTTTTCCCCACAAATTTATCGGGAAAATTGTATTGACGTATAGGTCACGTGATACTGGTCCCATGACGTCTGGTTGCGCAACATCAATTTTTTCGCTAAACTTAGCAGGGGTACTTTTCGTTTACACTCGCGCCGTCGAAAAACGGGTAACGGGCTATTAACAGCTGTCGCTGTAAGTGGCCCGTTACATACGAATATACACGTAGAATTAAATAGAAAATAGAGATGCGGTAAAGATTGCATCCCGTAAATGAATGAAGTCCAGTTCAAGAAATGCAGCGTTGCCTAGCAGGCACATTCTCTGCATCACAACTAACAGTCCAATGCCAGACAACACCAAGGCCCGAGAGAGTCGCAGCCCCCGTTCACTGCCCTCCTTGACGGACGCCAACCACTGCGGGGTGGTTGGGTCCTTGGGTGCCAATCCCGTCCCAGTGACTGGCCAACAACTCCAGCCGTTTGTCAATCCCTTCGAGTTGATTGGGCAAACGACTGGAGGCCGTACCGTTCGTTGCATCCCGGTCCCGGCATGTAGTGGCTCTTGGCATCCACGTGGAGCAAGTGGTCGGTGGCCCTGAGTACGCACAGCCACTCCGCGTCGTAACTCAGCTTCGCTGGACCGCTTGTCGGGGTGGGCACATCCAAGATCTAGAGGACGGATGGGGGAACCTGTCCACTTCACAGCCTCTCTGGAGAAGCTTCCACCCCAAAACGCATTAAGATTTCCATCTTGCGGAAATGTTCGGAGAGCATCCGCACAACGCGAAGGTGCTCCTGGAAGCACGGAAAACCCATTTGCGACGGCCCTTTTCTGCAAATGCTCAGCACCGTCTTCTACGGTCGAATCATGTTAATTCAAACTCAAGGGGGACCGAACACTTGTTTGAATAAAGCGAAGTTTGACTTATTGGGAGTTTCATCCCATAGAGACGCATAGGATGGGACCTGCATGTTAGTTTGACTTATCCAAAAGTTCGAAATAACGAGATTCGACTGTATTGCCAAATCGAAAAGAGTTTTTGATGGCCTTCTTAAAAATCCTATCTACCCCAATGCTTTCTCCGTTTCTTTTTTTTATTCAGTCATACAGCTGGCTTTCATGTGAGAACCATAGGAGGTGTGGCTAATACATAAAATCAATACGAAAAAAAAAAAGTTTAAAGTAGATTTAGCGATGGATTGAATCTGCCGAACTTCAGATTTGGCAAAGTTCAGCACATGCCAAACTTTTAAGAAAAGGTTTAAAAGTTTGGCAAACGCACGTGCAAGAACCAGAGGTCGCCATTTTAGGTCGCCCTCACTCACCCTCACCTTCACAGCCACACTCACCTAAACCCCTCACTCACCTTCATCTTCACAGTCACACTCACCTTCAGCTCTTCACTCACGCTCACTGAACCTCACGGCCCTCATTTCCTTCACGCATTCATGGCCCTCACGGCCGTTATGCACTCATGGCCTTCACTACCTTCACCGCCCTCACGGCCCTCACGCCAGTCACCGCCCTCACTCACTCGCGGCCCTCACGCCACTCAGGCCCGCTTCAGATGGGGCCATTTTGCCCAGAAACTTGACGTCGCAACACGAGCGACACGGGCCGCCTGCGTTCACACGCAGCAACCAATTGCTGCAATTTGCCATCATCCTCATGAAATTTTATTTTTCTTGCACTCTTTAGACACACAATTACGCGTCTTTTGTGGTTTTATGCATTTAAATCTCGTTGAGAATACTAATGCATCTTTCTGAAACAGTTTATTTCCAAAAACTATCAATTTCAAACCAGAACCAAGTCTTTTGTTGTCATCATCACCGGCACGAAGTATCACGTGAAAATATTGCGTCTGCTTCAAACGTCTTCAAATCGCTCCGGGTTGCTCGCTTGTTTCGAGCCGGACCCGATCTCAGTGATTAGTGTCGATCTAGGGAAAGCTAGGGAACAACCCGCCATCAACACCAAAATTGCTGAGAAAGTTGCTCCGTCTGAAGGGGGCCTCACGCACTCACTGCCCTCACACACTCACGGCCCTGACACCCTCACGCATTCATGGCACTCACACACTCACCGCCCTCATGCACTCATGGCCCTTACACCACTCATGCACTCACCGCCCTCACACCCCTCACACACTCATGGCCTTCACGCCACTCGCCACCCTTATGCTTCTCACGCACTCCCTGCCCTCACGGCCCTCACGTACCTCAAAGACCTCATGGCGCTCACTCAAACTCACACTCATAAATTTTCCTGGTTCAGAAACTCACTCACCCTGACCTCACCTGTGAAGATGAAGGTGAGTGAGGGCCCTCATGAGTGAAATTTGCCGAGGTATGGCAAGAACGCAACAGGGCCGCGGGGCATGCCGTGCAATCATTGTCGTACAGTGTAGTACTACTGCCGCTTTCATCGATGTGTTGAATATATGGTCACTTTCTGTTTGCCTGCCTTTGTCAAAGTGGTTTCCTTCAATATTTTCTCCCTCAAAAACGGAAGTTCGACCAGGAATTGAGGCAGTCTACTGCGCAAGTGACAAATGATGCGGTAGATTCTGGATAATGTGATTCTCATTTGATATTCCCAGTGATGCACAAGGTAGTTGCAGCATTGACTGATAGCAATCCTGTTCTTGGCCCGATTTGTGCCAAAAGCAAATATTTATTGCTTTTTAATTAGCGTTATTTTGCGGTTTTCATCTGTCCACATCAAACTAAACAGAACTATCATGCTCAACGTTGCACATATGACATTCCTAACTTCTAAACACCTGCGTGTGTCCTAACATCAGAGACCGGAATTTCAAAAGTTAAAAGCGAGACACTGTGAATATGACACGCACACTTTCATGCGAAGTTGAAGTGACTCAAACTTGAAAAAACAAAAACACGGTCAATTCTCGAAATATACGGCGGGTGGTCAGCGCAGCGCACCGCCACACTCCCTGCCAGCACTGTGGCCGCTTCTGCTCCACTCGGCGCCAAGGATGCTTTTGCATTCACCACTCGTGACAAGTGCTTAGGCGTCCTCAAAAGTTTTTAAGGGGGGACATTACCCAGAAAAAAAAAATTGTGCAAAAAAGTTGATTTTGAAAAATGCCCTATCTGGATACGCCAACATCGAGAGTATTCCCAGAAAGTTTCGTTCACAGTACATAGCTATATTTTTATTAATTATCTTCGGTCCACCAATGTTAAAGAAAAGGTAGAGGTTCGAGCACTTTGAATGAGTTTTTCTCGAATACACTTTTTGGCATAAATCCCACCTTAATAAAACTATCGAGACTTAATATTTGCGGTTATGCCGAAATTTTATGGACCCGGTTACTATGAACTTTTGCATTTTTATGTTGCTTTATTATGAAAAACTGTAATTTGCGAAACATCATAAATGTGAAAAACCACTTTTGCGATTGTAGTCGTCCCCTCCCTCGGCGGGTGGGATCCTCCGTCGCTTCTGCCGTTCCGGAAGGGGTCCCCCAAGCGTCGGTGGTCGAGAACCGCCGATTTGGGGCACCGAGGATCTCACTCACCTGAAGGAAGTCGCGTCTCGGCAGGCACTTGTCCAACGCCAGGAACTTGGTGCAGGTTCCGTCCTGCAGTGGGACGTGCGCTGCTCTCACGAGAGTTCTGCATGGCGACTAGTGTGCACGTACGTCACCTCGTGCAGTTGCAGCTGATACAAACCCGCGTACGGGGGCTCGGAGACATTGTTAGCAGTAATGTACGCGCTAAGGGGCGTTTAGCTCCTAGTTGCACATAAATGTATGTCTCAAACATGGTGCTAAAATACCGTTTCATCCGTGCAAGGACTCTTCTCGGGGACGATTAAGGGGGTTGCTCGGCAGACCCACAAGGGGGCTGTGGAGAAGCAGGTTTGAGAACCCACCTCGTAGACATCTAATGTGTCGCCGTTCTTAAAGGTACACTTCGCACTTTCCACTTTTGCTCACCTCCTTCTTTTTATATCCTCTCCTCGTTGGCGTTTAAGAGGTCACCTTTTCTAGAGACGTCACAAACCCCCCAAGGTTTGAGTCCGACCTACTTTTTCTAACTTTCAACGCAAAAATGAATGTGCGCGAAAAAAACAAAAAAATCTAGTTGATGCCATTTGGCAGAGATGGGGCACAATATTTCAAAATTTACGGGGCATATTGTTTTGCATTAATGGGCTAACTAAAACATTATGGCATATGTTTTTATGTTGCATAGAACTTAAAACAAACTACAGTGCAATCCACTTATAACAATACCACATATAATGAGGTATTGGTTATAACGATCAGTTTCTAAAGTTTCTAGGTTAAAAAACGCTCAGTTTCCACTCCAGGTATAATGATAATCGGTAATAACAATTGAATTTTCGGGTTTTCTCATTATCGATGAGTGGATAGCTCTGTACCAGATAACTTAGTTTTTTAAAAAAGAATATTTTGTGGCAGCAGGAAACAGTTGGAAAGCCTAACGTCGTGGCGCGAGCTACCGTCCGATACAAAGGGTATACCGTGTTTGCTCGAGTAATAGCCGCACTGTTTATGAAGAAAACCTGAGGGTTCGCTTTTCCACGGAGCACGCAGATTGCCAATCAATGCGATCGACAGCACGATTTCAGCAGTTTACAGGACAAAGATAACGTCTTCGTGCAAAGATACCATCTGTGACGATTGCATTTGTATGGAGAATCGTGTTCTCAATCTGGTTATTCGCAATGTTATTTATGCGCAACGCAATGATTGGCTGTAGATGTGTGTTCTGTGGGAAAGTAGATGCAAGGGCCTTGTTCATAAATAGTGCGGCTATTACTCGAGTAAATAGGGTAGTCAATATCACCCAGGCTAGGTGGGGTGAGCTACCGCCCGACACAAAGGGTATGGCCAATACTACTTATCGGTCCATCCATTCGGTGATATCTGCCAAAAGTTCAAACATCTGCCAAACCCTCGACGAAAGTTTGCCACGTCCCTAGTCGCCTCCCCAAACGGGGCCGGAGCTCGGCGATGGGTACGAAGAAGGCCGAAGGGAAGGGGGGCACCCCGACCTGGTGCTGCACCAGGGCGGCAAACTTGCAGTGCAGGTGGGCGGCGAACCAGAAGCGTGGCCGGAGCAGCTCGAGCAGCTCCTCGGTGGGGCGGCAGCCCAGGCGGTTGGTCTCCACCTCGGCCCGGAAGAACTTCTTGCGCCGCAGCAGGGCCTCCTTGTCCCCGTGGTTGTAGACCCCCCGGGGCCAGTCGTGGGATACCACCACGTCCAGGGGCTCGCGCAGCTGGACCCCGGAGAGAAGAAGCTGGATGCAGCGCGGAGCCCAGAGTGCTTCCCCCAACGCAACATCAATGGTTCGAACCCACATAAAAAAGAGGGCCTGCGCCTTTCCCCCAATTGTCGTTTACGAACGCATCTGCTGCTTTGCACTCAGCGTGGATCAACTCAAGGCGGGATCCGCTAACGACGACGCGAGCCTCGTCTTCCGGGGCATCGTTCAAACCCGCTCTAAATGGTCAGAAAAAAATCGGTTTCTCTACATTTCATGCTGTGATTTAGTTAGTATGGAGGTGTGGCTAGGCGGCAGACGTTTGGAATAAACATACGGGTGTATCGCCTTGCCTCGTTCAAAAGACAAGAAAGATGATCGCATCTCCACGTGGTGAATGATGCTAATTGGGGCGAACCTCTGGTGGTGCTGATGACACTGATTTTATTGTTCATAGGTAGTGCGGATGGTGCTGATTGTTTTTTATAGCTCATAGGTAGTGCTGCGTTAAGGGTTGCGTTTCGACTTCATTACTGCTTTATGGTCGGTGAAATACAGGGCCAGTGGTTCTTCTAGCAGATCAGCTCGGATCCACTAAAAGCCGTGGAAACGCATCTCCACCGCTTAAGTCAACAGTCCATGTCAGAAAGAGAATGTGTGGTTTGGAACGTGGTTATATACGCACTTGACCGCATCGCCCTCTCGTCTATAAACGTTGAGCCAATGCATGCAAAGTTTAACGCGATTATTAACGCATTTGATTGCAGCGCCCTCTCCTGTATAGACGTTGAGCGGCTACATGCAACGTTTGATCCATGACAGAAACCCCAGCTCTTGAGTTACTACCACATCTCAGAGCCCCCTACTCGTTCCGCAGTCGTGGCCGAGTGGTTAAGGCGATGGACTAGAAATCCATTGGGGTTTCCCCGCACAGGTTCGAATCCTGTCGACTGCACAAATATATTTTTCTTTTTATGTGAGCACGGACGGACGGACAAGGCTAGACCCTAAGGAGCTTCGCCCCTAAAAAAAATTGGCTGCACGTTCGGTGGTGGTGCTTAGTTGAGGCGGTGCCTGGGGCAGAATGATCCTCACGCTGCGTTCCAAAACTTGCCCAAATAGATTCAAGTTACTCTGGCGGGATGGGTCGCGTGAGAACGTAGCAACGCTGGACACGGGTAGGTTTTCAGCTGCGAAGGTACGAAATTCTCACTCTGGAGCAAGATCGAGTAAATCTTGGAACGGCACTAGTCTTTCGGCGCTTTCAGCTATGATGGTGCCTAGGGCAGGGTTTTGGTAAGGAAACAGACTACATCGCACCGTTGTCTCTGTGACGCTGCTCGTGCTTCGGATAAAAAAACCTTTTAAGGGAAAGTGCGCTTTCTACTTCTTTTTCTCACTTGTCGTTCCGCACTCTCTCTACACCACCTGGTTCTGCTCCTTTCTTTCTTGCCCTTTTCACTCCACACCTCTCTGCGTGTTTTGTCACACCACCTACTCCTCTTCCCGTTCCTGTGTGCCAGGTCCGTAACTCGTTCAGTGTCGCACTTGGCTTCCTCGCCGGTGACCGGGGTTCAATTTCTGGCACTTACTGCTTTATAAAAAACAAAAAAATATTTGCTTCCAGCATCTAATGGCTGCATTTTGCGGATGGTGCGCGCATACTTGCATGTGCTGCCGACAGATGTCGAGGGCGCTGAGCTTAGCGAATTATCTTCCGAAAGCTTCCGACTAAGCTTCCTTCAGCATGGTGCACAATAACTTATTTATCTTAAAATAAACTAAATACAAGCTGGGTTTCAATATCCTCTAAAGACCCCAATTTTAGTTCAGAGATGATCGATCCTCTCGTGCCTCAGAATGCGCCATCTGTGGGTGGCACACCCAAGTAAAAAAGCACCATTTGGTCCACCTGGGATATTGCCCCGCAGGTGGCCCAAAAAGGCTTTTTCTTCCCTTTTGAATGAGGCCGGTTCATCGATATATTTACTCTATGCTCGTACCGCGACAGGTTCAGAAACAGATTTTTAAGGGTCGTGTAAAGTTGGTTCGAAGAATCTGTTCACACACCACAAACCTTGTGCAAAACGTTTGGTGCCTTTTGTGGCACTCGAAGGATTGCCGGGAAGGTCCCGCAAGAAACCGGCAGACGTCGGAGGTGACATTGGGGGCAATGGAGGAAATGTGTGCCAGCAACTGCGCTGCCCTCTCTCCCCCTTTTCACTGTCAAGTGGTGGGAGCAAGGAGGAATGTACCAGACGTTCCCATAATTCCTTGCGTGCAGCATTGCACGTTGCCTCTTGGGATTTCTGCAAAGGTCTATTTTAATGCGTCCTCGTTTTTTGTGCCTCGATTTCCTCCCCAATGAGGCCACACTATGCTCGTGCTGTTGCTAACCCCGATACTGGAGGTGGAAAGCCGGCAGAAGTGGACGTAGCAGTTGTGGGAGCCACCGGTTTCCCTCCCCTGAGAAGGCGTGAGCCGCGGACGTTTTGGGCGAAGCCGTCTGACTTCGAGCCCGGTCGATCCGTATCGTGTCGGAGAGAATACGTCACCATGCTGACCTACTCTCTCGCACTCCTCCGCGCGTCTCCCCGATTTCGGGGGAACAGCGAGATCGTGCAAGAGAGAGACTCGGGCCTGCCCTCCGAGTGGACGGCCGTGTGGTCGAGGAGTCCTGGATTAGACTCCGGGCAACGGGTTGAGTCGCAGCGCGAGCTCGTCCGACCGGCGATGACTCCACGCTAGTGATGCCCCGGGCTCTGACAGTCGGCGTCCCCACAACCTGTGGACGTCCGTCTGCCGAGAGCCCTGGCCCCAGACTCCTGCGACGACGGGTAGCGGCGTGAGCTCGTCCGACCGGCGATGACTCCACGCTAGTGATTCCCCGGGCTCTGACAGTCGGCGTCCCCACAACCTGTGGACGTCCGTCTGCCGAGAGCCCTGGCCCCGGACTCCTGCGACGACGGGTAGCGGCGTGAGCTCGTCCGACCGGCGATGACTCCACGCTAGTGATTCCCCGGGCTCTGACAGTCGGCATCCCCACAACCTGTGGACGTCCGTCTGCCGAGAGCCCTGGCCCCAGACTCTTGCGACGACGGGTAGCGGCGTGAGCTCGTCCGACCGGCGATGACTCCACGCTCGTGATTCCCCGGGCTCTGACAGTCGGCGTCCCCACAACCTGTGGACGTCCGTCTGCCGAGAGCCCTGGCCCCAGACTCCTGCGACGACGGGTAGCGGCGTGAGCTCGTCCGACCGGCGATGACTCCACGCTAGTGATTCCCCGGGCTCTGACAGTCGGCGTCCCCACAACCTGTGAACGTCCGTCTGCCGAGAGCCCTGGCCCCAGACTCCTGCGACGACGGGTAGCGGCGTGAGCTCGTCCGACCGGCGATGACTCCACGCTAGTGATTCCCCGGGCTCTGACAGTCGGCGTCCCCACAACCTGTGGACGTCCGTCTGCCGAGAGCCCTGGCCCCAGACTCCTGCGACGACGGGTAGCGGCGTGAGCTCGTCCGACCGGTGATGACTCCACGCTAGTGATTCCCCGGGCTCTGACAGTCGGCGTCCCCACAACCTGTGGACGTCCGTCTGCCGAGAGCCCTGGCCCCGGACTCCTGCGACGACGGGTAGCGGCGTGAGCTCGTCCGACCGGCGATGACTCCACGCTAGTGATTCCCCGGGCTCTGACAGTCGGCGTCCCCACAACCTGTGGACGTCCGTCTGCCGAGAGCCCTGGCCCCAGACTCCTGCGACGACGGGTAGCGGCGTGAGCTCGTCCGACCGGCGATGACTCCACGCTAGTGATTCCCCGGGCTCTGACAGTCGGCGTCCCCATAACCTGTGGATGTCCGTCTGCCGAGAGCCCTGGCCCCAGACTCTTGCGACGACGGGTAGCGGCGTGAGCTCGTCCGACCGGCGATGACTCCACGCTCGTGATTCCCCGGGCTCTGACAGTCGGCGTCCCCACAACCTGTGGACGTCCGTCTGCCGAGAGCCCTGGCCCCAGACTCCTGCGACGACGGGTAGCGGCGTGAGCTCGTCCGACCGGCGATGACTCCACGCTAGTGATTCCCCGGGCTCTGACAGTCGGCGTCCCCACAACCTGTGGACGTCCGTCTGCCGAGAGCCCTGGCCCCAGACTCCTGCGACGACGGGTAGCGGCGTGAGCTCGTCCGACCGGCGATGACTCCACGCTAGTGATTCCCCGGGCTCTGACAGTCGGCGTCCCCACAACCTGTGGACGTCCGTCTGCCGAGAGCCCTGGCCCCAGACTCCTGCGACGACGGGTAGCGGCGTGAGCTCGTCCGACCGGCGATGACTCCACGCTAGTGATTCCCCGGGCTCTGACAGTCGGCGTCCCCATAACCTGTGGACGTCCGTCTGCCGAGAGCCCTGGCCCCAGACTCTTGCGACGACGGGTAGCGGCGTGAGCTCGTCCGACCGGCGATGACTCCACGCTCGTGATTCCCCGGGCTCTGACAGTCGGCGTCCCCACAACCTGTGGACGTCCGTCTGCCGAGAGCCCTGGCCCCAGACTCCTGCGACGACGGGTAGCGGCGTGAGCTCGTCCGACCGGCGATGACTCCACGCTAGTGATTCCCCGGGCTCTGACAGTCAGCGTCCCCACAACCTGTGGACGTCCGTCTGCCGAGAGCCCTGGCCCCGGACTCCTGCGACGACGGGTAGCGGCGTGAGCTCGTCCGACCGGCGATGACTCCACGCTAGTGATTCCCCAGGCTCTGACAGTCGGCGTCCCCACAACCTGTGGACGTCCGTCTGCCGAGAGCCCTGGCCCCAGACTCCTGCGACGACGGGTAGCGGCGTGAGCTCGTCCGACCGGCGATGACTCCACGCTAGTGATTCCCCGGGCTCTGACAGTCGGCGTCCCCACAACCTGTGGACGTCCGTCTGCCGAGAGCCCTGGCCCCAGACTCCTGCGACGACGGGTAGCGGCGTGAGCTCGTCCGACCGGCGATGACTCCACGCTAGTGATTCCCCGGGCTCTGACAGTCGGCGTCCCCACAACCTGTGGACGTCCGTCTGCCGAGAGCCCTGGCCCCAGACTCCTGCGACGACGGGTAGCGGCGTGAGCTCGTCCGACCGGCGATGACTCCACGCTAGTGATTCCCCGGGCTCTGACAGTCGGCGTCCCCACAACCTGTGGACGTCCGTCTGCCGAGAGCCCTGGCCCCAGACTCCTGCGACGACGGGTAGCGGCGTGAGCTCGTCCGACCGGCGATGACTCCACGCTAGTGATTCCCCGGGCTCTGACAGTCGGCGTCCCCACAACCTGTGGACGTCCGTCTGCCGAGAGCCCTGGCCCCGGACTCCTGCGACGACGGGTAGCGGCGTGAGCTCGTCCGACCGGCGATGACTCCACGCTAGTGATTCCCCGGGCTCTGACAGTCGGCGTCCCCACAACCTGTGGACGTCCGTCTGCCGAGAGCCCTGGCCCCAGACTCCTGCGACGACGGGTAGCGGCGTGAGCTCGTCCGACCGGCGATGACTCCACGCTAGTGATTCCCCGGGCTCTGACAGTCGGCGTCCCCACAACCTGTGGACGTCCGTCTGCCGAGAGCCCTGGCCCCAGACTCCTGCGACGACGGGTAGCGGCGTGAGCTCGTCCGACCGGCGATGACTCCACGCTAGTGATTCCCCGGGCTCTGACAGTCGGCGTCCCCACAACCTGTGGACGTCCGTCTGCCGAGAGCCCTGGCCCCAGACTCCTGCGACGACGGGTAGCGGCGTGAGCTCGTCCGACCGGCGATGACTCCACGCTAGTGATTCCCCGGGCTCTGACAGTCGGCGTCCCCACAACCTGTGGACGTCCGTCTGCTGAGAGCCCTGGCCCCAGACTCCTGCGACGACGGGTAGCGGCGTGAGCTCGTCCGACCGGCGATGACTCCACGCTAGTGATTCCCCGGGCTCTGACAGTCGGCGTCCCCACAACCTGTGGACGTCCGTCTGCCGAGAGCCCTGGCCCCAGACTCCTGCGACGACGGGTAGCGGCGTGAGCTCGTCCGACCGGCGATGACTCCACGCTAGTGATTCCCCGGGCTCTGACAGTCGGCGTCCCCACAACCTGTGGACGTCCGTCTGCCGAGAGCCCTGGCCCCGGACTCCTGCGACGACGGGTAGCGGCGTGAGCTCGTCCGACCGGCGATGACTCCACGCTAGTGATTCCCCGGGCTCTGACAGTCGGCGTCCCCACAACCTGTGGACGTCCGTCTGCCGAGAGCCCTGGCCCCAGACTCCTGCGACGACGGGTAGCGGCGTGAGCTCGTCCGACCGGCGATGACTCCACGCTAGTGATTCCCCGGGCTCTGACAGTCGGCGTCCCCACAACCTGTGGACGTCCGTCTGCCGAGAGCCCTGGCCCCAGACTCCTGCGACGACGGGTAGCGGCGTGAGCTCGTCCGACCGGCGATGACTCCACGCTAGTGATTCCCCGGGCTCTGACAGTCGGCGTCCCCACAACCTGTGGACGTCCGTCTGCCGAGAGCCCTGGCCCCAGACTCCTGCGACGACGGGTAGCGGCGTGAGCTCGTCCGACCGGCGATGACTCCACGCTAGTGATTCCCCGGGCTCTGACAGTCGGTGTCCCCCCAACCTGTGGACGTCCTTCTGCCGAGAGCCCTGGCCCCGTACTCCTGCGACGACGGGTAGCGGCGTGAGCTCGTCCGACCGGCGATGACTCCACGCTAGTGATTCCTCGGGCTCTGACAGTCGGCGTCCCCCCAACCTGTGGACGTCCGTCTGCCGAGAGCCCTGGCCCCGGACTCCTGCGACGACGGGTAGCGGCGTGAGCTCGTCCGACCAGCGATGACTCCGCTCGCAATTACCCCTCTGGCTCTCCGGTCGGTGGGCGCTGCGGGCACACTGTGTCCCCGGCCCGCTTGACCGCGGTGTCTTGTTGGGGACCCTTGGTACTCAATAAACGCTGTTGGATACCGGGATCCTCGTTGTTAGCATGGCGTTGGCCGAACCCGGCGCGGCGACCGCCCTCACTGGTAGCCGTCGGCCGCGCGGTGGGACGGGCATCGGATTTCCCCTTTGAGCACCGATTGCCGGACTCCCTCTTTGTTTATCCCCACACAGTCGGCCGTTACGCCGTATATTGCTCTCCAGCTCCATAATCCGCACAAACTGCAACAACCATGGGTTGGAACGCCGTGACAACGGCAACACTCGCGTTCGCTCACATTTTTTTGCTAGCGCTTCTACAACCAACTGCCGGGATCGCCAAAATTTTGATTTAGCCAAAACTGGCAAAATCCTTTCTGCACTTTGAATGGGTTCTCCAAGCTACAAAGGCTGACACTCAACCGATCGAAGGACATTTTCGGCACTACAAACGCTACGCTGTTCTCAAAGAATCCGGACAGTTTGGGCAGCCGCTCTCGTCGTCCCAACATTCACGACTGTAGTTTGTTCTTAGTACTGGGCTGCTCAAAGAGAACTGAATAACTGAAAAATGTTCCCAGCTTGTGACAGGATTTGGACATGTGACTGAACTAAGCTTCTTTACCTGTATATACTTGCATTGGTGCCTCCTTGCACAATGAGCTTTTCAAATTTATAAGAAATTAACTTTCTTTTTAACGATACAAGTTCACTATAATTTTTCTCAACCAGTGAGTCTAATGTAGTGTTATGTACTGGCAACAGTCGATACTGCCACAAGGGCAGTACTAACCTTCGCAGTAGCTAAGGAGAAGGCGATTGCAGCAGAGTTCGCAAACCGTCGGACAGACAAGATTTGGGGAGCGATGTGTGCCGGGTCAGTAAACACGTGACTCCGAGCGCCAAGTCAAACGCCTCGGCATCAAAGAAAGCGGCTGCGCCAAAGTCGCAGCTAAAAGCAAATGAGTGTTTCGCTGTGGAGGGTCACGCGCACCAGATGACACAGCCAGTGTCTTTTTTGCGAGCGGTGAGGCCACGTCATGAAAGTTTGTCGACAAAGGCCTAAGCAGTCGTCACCAACGCCTAGGCAGACGAGTGAAAGACGCCAAGGTGGTCGGTGGCGCGACGGGGAAACGGCGGAAATGTTCGGCATCTTCCAAGTAACTGCCGAGGAGCCTGCTGTCCAGGCGGTCGTCTGGGTGAATGGAGAACTTCTCGAGATGGAAGTCGACTCTGGAGCGGCGTGCTCCTTGATCAACGAGAACTATGCGCCAGCTGCGGCTGTCCAAGCACAAGCTACGCCTGTGTGCATTGCGTCTTTGCACGTATAACCGGTAGGAACTGAAGGTGCTGGGCTCTCTGATGGTCCAAGCCATCTACATAGGGCACCAAGAACGACTGCGTCTTGTCGTGATTGAGGGAGCAGGCGTAGGCTTGCTGGGTAAAACCTGGTTCCAGGCTCTCAAGATTGAACTGAAAGACAATCAACTGCAAGGAACAACGAAGAGCCAGAGTCTGTCTACAGCAGTACTGCTGTGAAGTCGCGCCAAGATCTTCCAACTGGGTCTGGGCAAGAACAAGGGACGACCAGTCCGAGTCGAAGTGGAACCGACTGCCCAGCCCAAATTCTTCAGACCACGTCCAGTTCCCTTTGCCTTACTACCTAGAGTGGACGAAGCTTTGGACAAGCTCATCAGTCGAGGCATTTCGGAACCCGCCCAACATTCCAGTCGGGCAACACCAATAGTACCTGTGGTCAAGAAGGATGGCACAGTGCGAATCTATGGCGACTACGAGAGTATGGTGAACCCTGTCGTTTGTTGGGAAAGCTACCCCCTTCCCACATCTGAGGAGCTTCTTGCAAAGCTGGCAGGCTGTGCCAAGTTTTCCAAGCTTGATTTAGACCAAGCATACCTGCAGATGCCTGTTGATTGTGAGACAGCTGACCTCCTCACCATCACCAAACACTGGATTTCTCTGGGTCACGCGCCTGCAGTTCCAAGTAGCTGTTGCAGTCACTATTTTCCAGAGGTACACGGAAGAGCTGCTGCAAGGACTGGATGGGGTGCAAGTTTTTCTTGATGACAACCTCGTAGGCGGTAAAGATGACGCAGAGTACAACACTCGTCTGCAAGCAGTGCTTCAAGGCAGAAATACAGCTGTCGGATGACAAGTTCAAGGCCATGGAGCACCCGAGCCAAAGTGTAAGAAGAAGTTGCAAGCGTTCCTAGGAGCACTCAACTTGTACAACAGGTTCCTACGGGGAGGTGACTACAGTGAGCCTGCTTGTTGGAGCTGTTCCTCGAAACTAAGTGCGGAGTTTCGATGCAGCACTTCCTGACCTGTGACCCAAAACTTTGGTTTCATCGATGCCGCCGTAAAGAAGCTAACATTAAAAACGAGCGTGTTGGTAAATATACTTAAATAACCGGAAAGAATAACCACAAATTCAGGACGAAAACTGACGCATACAACTGTATGCGTCAGTTTTCGTCTCGAATTTGTGTTTATTCTTTCCAGTTGTTTAAAGAAGCAAAGTTTACAATTTTTTAAGTTTCGGAGCCGCTTTGGCCCCCCTTTGGGAGTCGCGAACGACAGTTTGGGACACACTGGTCTACCGTATGAAGAGAAATGTGGTTACTGATACGAGCCATAAACGCAAAGATTACAGCACACCTAAACTTCCAACAGATCTCACCTGTCTGAGCCTGAAGATTTCAATGTTTCGCAGGTGATAGGCACTCCTCTTTGTAGACTCGTTGTAGGGTGGAACCTCGAAGTGACCTGGAAGTGTACAACCCCCATCCAGTAAGCCACTAGGCCCTCGAGCTCACCCAACGTGCCCAATTTTCACCAAAACCCAATGAGACAAGAAGTCTTCGCATAAATGAGCTGGTCACAAGCCTCGAACGACATCTAAAGTTGGAGTAAATGGATGACAAGAAACAGACGGGAGCCATAAAGTACAGGTGAAATTTCATTAGGCGGTCAAGTCCTCTACTTGGAGTCCCCTAAGCAGGTCTCCCACCCGACAGTTTTAAAGGCCGTTATTTTTTTGCACTTGTGCGACTCCACGCTCGAGGCAGCCCGTGTGCTTGCAGAGTCGAACTCGAGGCCTTTGACTGGTAATTTGTTACTCAAAAGAGACTAATTAGGTACATTACAAATTTTATTTGAGAGAAAATTATATAATTACTAAATAAAAAGAAAAAGTAACAAGTTTGAAGTAACTATTGCATTACTTCCAAGTCTGGTTCAAACCATCCACAAACAATGAGAAATACTGGGAAACTTCCCAGTACTGTCTGTGTTCGGTACGAGATTAAAAAAGCAATACAGTATAGACCACTTACAACATAACCGCGTATAGTGCAAGACTGGGTATAACGCGGCTTTTTTCATTTACCGGTTTGCCTCCCATACAACTCCATGTAATTACATACCGCTTAAAATGCAGGCGCGTGAAGGGAAATTCCGGTTATAGTGCGGTTTCTGGAACAGCCCGCCGATTGACCGGCGCAGCGAGCAGGCTTCCCCGTGCGACACTAGATAACGGCACTAGCCGCAAGCGGCTCTCGCGGGGGCAAGGATGGCAACAAGGTTGCACAAAGAAGCAAAGAGAGAGGCAAAGACGAATGACTACGCGCGAGTTACAACGCAGCGAGGTCGCGAGGTGTGACCGACACACACATGTGTGCTGTACTTTGAAAGCCCCATCGAGCCACCCCCAAGCCTTTCACCCTTTCGATTTCACCCCCTCGCTCGAGTGATGCAACACCAACCCCCTTTCTTACACCGTGCGCACGAGCCAAACTAAGGCTTGATAGCTAGATAGTTTCTAGTTTTGTTTCTTGCAGTGTGCTAACCTGCACCACGCCGATTTCTGCATATCGTGCGGAAATCGACCGTCCATCCCAGTCTCTCCGTCTCCCAAGCCCAGGATGGCCAAGGAACGACAAGCCCTGTCTCTCGAAACTAAACAGAGCATTGTCAAAGATGTCGAAAGTGGTAGGAAAAAAGCTTTCGTCGCGGCCAAGGACAACGTCGCTCACACAACGGTTTCTGCTGTCTGAAAGAACCGGGAGCAAGTGCGGAAGCAGCTACAGCAAAATTCTGCATTGCTCTCAAGAAAGAGGATTCGTACGTCAAAGTATGAGGACGTCGACAGAGCCTTGTTTAGGTGATTTCGTGAAGTGCGAGCCTAGAACGTCCCAGTGAGTGGCCCGATGCTACGAGCAAAGTCCTTTGGACATTTCTTCGAACACGAAGGCTTCAACCCCCTCAACGGATAAATCCAGCGGTTTAAAGATCGCCACGGGATTAGCTGCAAAGTTATTTTGGGCGAAAGTGGGGAAGTCGACGACGCCAGCATCCAGGTGTGGTTTTGCATTCATCGCGAGATGATGCTTTCCGCGTACGCGGACAAAGACATCTATGATGCCGATGAAGCTGGTCTGTGCTACAACATGCTTCCCGATCGCACTCTTGCGTTGAGAGGTGAACCCTGTTCCGGCCCCTTCCGGCCGCAAAGTCTCAAAGGAACGTGTCACGGTTTTGTTTTGCGCAAACATGGACAGCTCCGACAAGCGGCGCTTGTTTATCATCTGGAAATACAAACGACCCCGTTGCTTTAAAGGGTAACTGCAAAGAAAAAAAAGTTTTTTTTTAAACAGCCTAATTGGGACAAGCATGTCACAAAACAAATGTTCCGCTAAAAAAATAATTTTTTTTATCAATATTTACGCTACAGGACGTAACTTAGTAGAGTCAGAACTTCTCCACATTTGAAACTCCCGCTCTTTCGACCCCCGCGGAAGAGGAGTACGCCCCGCCCCTCACTCGCCTTGCGTTGCGGAGTTGAACGACGCAGCATCTCGACTTCCGGCAACTACGCCAGGCCGCGGTATTATTTTGGTTTGACGCGGCAGACGCGGTTCGCGAGCACATGTAGCGAAGACGTGACCGGAGAACTGCACCTGTGATGTTCCCGGAAGACGGAAAGTATCGTTCGTAATCGTCGTGCGCGCTTTGAAAGCGAAGGGAGTCACAGAATCCACGACTGCGCAACCACAAGCCAAGGTTCACGACAGCGCTGCGTTGGTTTCGGCGATCTCGTTCTGTTTGGTGCAACACGGCGATGCGACAGAGCTGAAACGTTCGTGGTGTGTAATGCGGTGCTAACACGGAGTGCAAATTGGTTGTGGGGTTGACGTTCAACCAGTTAAGTCCCGTCGTCGTCAGCTGATCCAGTCAAACTGGTCCGGGAGGACGCTGGGAGCGTTTTTAAAAGTAAATCTGCCTCGTTCTGTTTCAAAATGTGGAAGTTTCCCGACGCATACCGTGAGTAAAAAGCTGCGGGCGTTTTCAACAAAATTACGTCGGTTTAATTGAACAATGGACTCCGAATTGTTGTCCTAAATCTGCCGTTTTTATGCTTCGTGTTGAACTGCGTTTGTACAGCGACGTGTTGCATCGTGCGGTGTGAATAAATTTGGGCACGATTTCGTACCTGCCTACAGATGCATGAACTGAGACTACTTTTTACGTAGCAGACATAGTGCTTTTTTATTTTCTGTCCAGTCGCGGACGTTAGGTGCACACGGGGCGAATCTCGACGGCCTCCAGAGCGATATGACGAGAACGTAACTAGACACGTTGGTCGCTACGCGAGCGCCCGATTGCCTCCAGCCAAATAGCATTCCTTTCGGGGAGACATGGCTGCTGGGAGGCTCACTGTCGGGATCATGCATCTGACATCTCCGAAAAGTCAGCATTTGCACGCGCAAACAAGCAAAACAACAACAACAACAAAAAAAAAAGCACGCTAAGCAAGCAAAGAGGAAAACGAAAGAACCGCGCTATGGAAGCCAAAACCCCGCGTCGCTTCCTATCACTAACACCTCCGACAGCTGCTAAACACACACTACTTCACTTCAAGAAGTCTCACTCAAGCACCTGGGTCAGCACGAAACACTGATCACTGTGTCTGCCTGTGGTGTACACAGCAAATGGAAAGGCCTGGATGACCCAAGAGTTCTTTGCTAGTTGGCTGAAAAGTTTCGATGAGGCCATGGTCGCAGAAAAACGGTGCATCGTCCTTATTCTGGACAACTGCAGCGCTCGCAATGTGCAGCCACAATTAAGCGCAGTCAGTTTGAAGTTCCTGCCGGCAAGCACCATTGCTAAAAGCCAGCCTCTCGATCAGGGCGTCATCGCTACAGTCAAAGTGCTCTACAAGAAGCGCATGTGCGAAAGAGTCGTCTTGAAATTGCAACGAGATGAACGCCTCAAGGTGGACTTGAGAGGCGCCATCGACATGATCACCGCGTCGTGGTGGCAAGTAAAGGCCACAACCGTCCAGAAGTGTTTTCGCAACGCAGGGTTTATGCGCGATGCAGGGAATTCAGAGGACGCCGATCTGCGCAGTGATGCGATTGACGAGGCGATTGGAGCGAACGACGTGTGGTCCGACCTTGTGGAAAACAACTTTGTTCCTGCAAACGACATGTTTCAAAACTATGTTGATGAGGATGACGACGACTCTCTTATCCGTGAGGAAGCAACCACCGATGAGGCTATTGCGTCAGCGGCCCGAGGTTCTGGGGCGAGTCCACCCGAAGATGAGCCGGACGACAACGAAGAGAGCACGCTGGAAGTTTCAAGTAAAGATGCACTGGAATTCTTACAGAAACTGAAGGTTCACTGTGAGCAGAACTCCTTCAGTGAAGAGGTGTTCAAATGCCTTAGGGTTGCCGAAGACCAGGTCGTCCGCAACGCCGTTAAAAGGCTGCGCCAGGCAAAAGTCACTCATTTTTTTCAAAATGTGTGACACACTTGAGAGAGAAGTGTACTAGTCTGGTAAAATAAGGACCCTCCTCAGACAGCTTTATTTTTCGTCTAACATAAAATAAATTCTTTTACAAAGGTAAGTTGTCTCATGGCATGTATTTTGGCCTGAAAAATTGATGTTTTGGTTATAGCGCGGTACCGCTTGTAGTGTGGATTTTCGCGACTCCCGTGACATACGTTATATGCGGTCTACACAGTACAACGATTGAATCAACGATATCCCATTCCCCCATGCATGCCGTAAAGATCCCGCAGTGAAGCGGTTCCTTGAGTTTTCAACAATTGAGAAAGAGAAATGCATTTTTGGTGTAATGTTGATGGCTACTCCCCACATTCTAATGAAACGAAGTGGTCCGACACTTTGGCACAGTTTGGCACATTACTGCCAAAGGAATGCACAATGCGCGATGCGAGTGAAAGCAGATTGGTCGTGGAGCCGGGGTGCCTGCTTCCCACCTTTCATGTAGTCGGGTCCTTTGTAGATCCCCGAGATCCCCGCTATCCTCACGCCATTCACGTTCACCACACCTGCATAGCCTGAAAGAGAGGGCAACCCGCAGCTGGAGAAGTATGCTTGGGAGAAGAGCGTGTTGATTTAAGTCATGGATGAAGAAAGATTAAAACAAGTAAACGGGGCCCGATTCGCCGTCATTCCTTACGTACACAATTCAGCCCACCAAATAAAATCCATTGCCTCAAAGTTCGACACGAATGTTGTCTTCTTGTGCCGCATGAGTCTTAAACAACTCTGTCAACAAGTGAACAACAACCAGATTCCGATTGGCTGCACTGTTAAACACGAAAAGAAATTTATTCCATGCAAAGAGAAGAAAGTTTACTCCATCCCTTTGAGCTGCGGCCACCAATACATAGGTCAGACTGGCAGATGCACCAATCACAGACTCCGCGAACATCACAACGAATTTCTAAGGCCTCTCCAAATTCTTATCATCCCATAGTCATACATGCCCATTCGTGTTTGAGTTGTCATCCCCTCTTTGATGAAACAAAAATCCTGGGGGGGGGGGGGGGCATGACAGCAGATTCGGCAGGGAGATCATAAAATCATTTGCGATGACCACAGCAAAAAACAATGTGTCAAACCCTCCCCTCCTGCTGACGAAAACTGAGGTTGAATTTCTAAAATCTGAGATAAGCCCACCACTCTGCCTTGCACTTCGCGTTTCTTATCTTCCCTTCTCCCCCGTTCTCCTCCTGGGTATAGACCTTTCCAGCGGCAGTCTCGAACGAAGCGATTTACAGCGCACGTCCCTGGTTTCGAGAGTGTACGTCAGTGTTGCCCGACTGCGTTGAGCTGTGGAGTTTCTCGTCAGTAGGCTGTGGCAGCCTGCGTAAGCGCAATTCCGGACGCTGGTAGCGGCTGAATTGCCGCGTTTTTTTTTTATTTTGTGTTCTGTGGCGAGCATAATTTATAGAGGTATTTAAAAAAGCAGTGCTCTATTTTTGGGAACAAAAACAAAGAAATGAAAGCCGTTTTGGTGAGTCCGTGCGCGACAGAACAAATGCAACTGGAATGTTTGTTTCATTTTATGTTCATCGTTTTTTGGCACCGTACACTTAGCCGTGTCAATCTATATAGGTCAAATTATTTGACCACACATGATATCCGAACTGCATGGATATTCCCCCCCACAACATGAAATTCAATGAGTCTCATCAATCGAACAGCATATACTGTACGTACCCTACGGTGCCGCGTTATCCGAACAGGATTTGAGAATGGTCTCAAATAACACAGCATATCCAACATACAGTGTTGACGATAGTCACTTCACGACAATCGGACGGAAGCCGGCGTGTTTTGGGGAACATGTAGAAGAGAGCTCCTTTTTTGTACAGCTTCAAAGCAAATGAACGAACGTCCCCACACCCCGGACCCGACCCTATCAGTTATTTTTCGCGAAGACCCGGAACACAGCCGGGAAGGCCTTTTGGAGATTATCTCAACGGAAATAATCCTCCAAGAACGTCAAACTGCCTGCGTCGCGTGCTGCTTAACGTTTGCTCTCTTTGTTTGTTTCCTGCGAAGGCCGAGCAGGCTACGAGCCCTGGTATCCCCTGGTTCTCACAGTGGAAGATAACGTACAAAGGGTAAGCATCTTAAACAGGTGAATAAAGTAAAAACTTCCAAGAAAATCCGGCGAACTCCGAATGCACAATGCAGGTGGCGAGTCACGCTGATCGGGTTTCCACAGCTCAGGTGGGTGCCAGAAATTTCTGGCTAATAGGGGTCGCTTGATTTGCGAAATGGCGGCGGCCAGAGCGCTCTTTTTGCAAAGGTCTATAGTCGGCTGCTCGCTGTTGAAAGTTTACTCGTCTCTTGCTAGTTGAAAGATGTGGTTGTGCTGTCCCTGTTTAATTGTTTTATTCTTTCTTCATCCATGGAGAAGTATGCTCATCGTTTTATCCGGTCACACAACCGTATTATCCCGAGAGATGGCCCACCCAAAAACGAAAGCAAATTGGGTAAAAATAAGTGGTGGGCTAATTTCGGTGCGCAATAAAAAGTTTGAAAAAAAGTCCTAGGGGTGTGCAAATACTCAAATTTACAAATACAAACCGAATACTGTCAAGACCGGTTATAACGAAGCTGATTATAACAAAATAGTGGCTACAGCGAAGCGATCATGATCTCCAACTCCCATATGTACTTTTGCAATGCATTTGTGTCTGTTTCTAGCAAAAGAAATTGAGCAGCTTCCACAGATATAGCGAAGAGAAATTTTGTGGTAATTTAAGAAAAAAGAATAAAATTCACAAAGTTTACTAAGTCTCAGACTGCTGTGCTTTGCTGCCGCGGCCAAGAAGCCACTTTGAGCTGCAGAAGATGTTGGAAAGGCCGGCGGCGACAGTCTTTGCAATGTCGTCTGCTCCCTGCTCTTTATTTGGAAAGCGGCTTTACCGCATCGCAAGCAGAGAAGCGGTGTTGGCATGCCGATAGCTGCGCTCTAAAAGCTTCAGAAACCCTGACTTAGGGCAAAGGTGACATACGGGTTCTAGGGATCAAACGAAGCTTTTGACAGTTGGCCGAGTGCCCATACAGATGGAGAAACTGAGACTGGCCTTACCCATGTAGTAGATGTTTTCACACAGCCAGCCCCCAAAGGCCAGTTCTGCCAGGTAGTTAGAGGCCTCGTGATTCCCACCAATCACGAGGGTCAGCAGTGGCGCCCTCTTCTCTCCCGAGTAGTACCTGCGTGCGAGGCGGGCGCGCCTCGTTACGGTAGGCCATGCGCAGCCACCTTGGGTCGGCAGTCGCCATTTTTTATGCGCACTCGCAGACGGGACGAAAGTCGCTCGTCTAGTTCCTTTCGTCTTCGCAACGATGCTACAGTCACTCACTCGGCGGTGGGAGCAGCCTCGGCTGCCCCGCCTCCACGACGAGCTTCCTACCTGCGACGAGGACGCCTTTTGCACCTTGAGCGCAGCCAAAGTGCGGAGCACGTGCTTGAAAGACACGCCTTTCTCACTCTATCGGGGACAGCCCAGTGCTCCAGTTCACGAAGCCAACAAACGTTTCAACCCGAGAAGTCGGGTCGGAGGAGGTGGCGCACCCCGAGAGAAAAACGGAGAGCGTCGACTGACACTCGAGAGACGGATTCTCGGAAACTGCCAAGAGTCGATCGGCAAGTTCATGGGGCTTGCGGTGCTGTGCCGTCAAATGGCACGGACCCGAGAGAGAGGAATGTGCGAAGAGACATGCGGATGAGACGAGAGCAACGAAGCGGTATGAATCGAAGGATAAACAAAAACGCTGGCAGTTTTTCATAAAACAGCTTCCGTTGCACTTCGCATAATGTGACACCTGCCGCTCTCTATTTTAAGCCTCCCTGGCTTTAATGAATGTTCCAAGTCATCCCGAAGAAGAACTACAGAGAATGCTAGAAGCCCTTTGAGCTATTCCATTCTTGGGAAAGCGCTTTGCAACTCCGTGATCGGGTGCAGCGAGCAAAGCACGGGTCGTGTGGCAGGCTCCTGGGCCCAGACCAGCTTGGATGGCTTGTAGCATACACCGAGACCCGTAGCGGAGTGAAATAAAAAAGTGCAGGCCCTGGTTCGCGAGCATCCTGCCCGCGACAATGAAGAACAACGAAAAGAGCCAATAAAGGCACGCACATTTGCTCCCTCCCACGGCACAAAACTATGTCCCGTTTTCCACTGAAAAGAAATCTGGTGACAGTGAAATGGGTGCGCATGACTCTCGTGTGATCACCTCGTTAGGACCACAAAGTTTTCTTCTTCCTGTTTCACAAACTCTGAGGCTTATGGTTCTGTGTCCAACCTCTGGCAAGCCCGAGCAAGTAGATTATTAATCGCCGAGAGGTAAATATATTTATTCCCTTTGCTCGTGCCCTCGTCGAAGGGCCGTCTAGTTGGGAGAGAAATGGATGTACATCGGTGTTATGGTTGTTCTAGGAGGATTGAAGAAGGGAAGGAAGAAGACAAGAAACCATGAGAAGTGGTGATGCCGCACTGAAGGATTCGGGATAGGCAGTAATAAAGCACGGCACCGCAAAGACAACCTTTGTTGGGGTGTCCAGGCCACACACCCCAATTTTTGCTTGTTTTACCTTTTACCCGAATTAAACGTCTCATTCTCGCCAGCCTTGTCCCGACAGTAACAACCTCAACAAACGCCGTCTCAAATCGGCAATTTAAAAAAAAAAAAAAAAAGTGGGTTTCCATCTCGAGATTAGTCGATCCTTCTAAAACCGATGCAGGCTAGCGAAGGATTCGCCGCGGATCAGGTGGAGCCCGCAGCAAACCATGCAAGTGCAGCAGACGACGCGGGGGAAACCGATCCTCTGGCGACGGCAACGCTACTGTTTCGCCCGCTACCGCAGCGGCCTGCGCTCCTCCGGTGAAAGCCGCTACGGTTCCTGGACTCCTTCTAATAACGTTGGGGAGAAGTTGAAAGTGTACTTGTGGAAGTCCTTCATCTCCTGGTACTTTTTGGGGACAGCCATGCAGTCCATGTCCGACGCATTTCGCACCGCTTGGAAGTCGCCGCAGATTATTAAGAGGTCAACCTGGAAAAAACGACGGCGACACAATTCAGAAAGACGCCGCGGGTCGTGGACTGAACCGAACTTACGGTGAACTTGTGGCGCTCTTCTATGGCTTGGATTGTCTCGTAAATCTTGTCAAGTTCCCCGTGCGCACATCCTTCTACGGCTATTCTCATTGTGGAAGATCTTGTTGCCCGAGACAAATATTCCTTAACGCACGCAGTGACCACTAAGTTAACCAAAAAAACTTTGTAACTTTTTGCAGTCAGAAAGGCGGCGTTTGTTGCTGTAGTTTGTTATGCGACAGTCAGTGCGACAGTGGAGGCCGCCATATTTTTGCCATGGTTCGTAGAGTCGTAGTAGAGCAATTTTTGAGTAGAGTCGTACAGTTTACGGATTGATCACGTTACAATTTCTGCTAGTTCCCATAAAATAAAAAAAAACGAACTGATTAGTTACAAAAAAAGTTAATTTTTTGTGTAATATTTTTTTTGCACGCTATAAAGTGTCGAAATTGAGATCATGAAAGTGGCGGAAAAAGAAAACTCACCAGCTTGCGTAGGCAACAACATAGAGACACTTTTGATTGGACGAAACTCTGCCACGTGACCGGGTGAAATGGGGGAAGTAGCGAATTCGGTATTGTTGATGTCTCCGTGAAATTTTAGGGCTAAATCGTCGTCGAAATTTCTCGGTTTTCGTGTTGATCCCAAAGGATAACCCGGCGGACTGGGCCCTCTCATGAATTAACCGAAGATCAAGTAAGCCCTTTCACTCAGCTCGCTGTCGCGGCGCCTTCCTCGGCGTCGACGGCCGATCCAGAGTGTCATCGCGTATCGGCACTCGCGAACAATCGCGGCCGTCTTGGCCGTCCAAGTTGCACCGGTCACGTTCAAAACCGCGATGTCGTGCGCACTCGTTCGCTGGCGCCCGTCTCGCTCCGGCCAACACCCTCGTGTACTGCGCTCGCCGTGCGCGAGATACGTCCGTGAACCGAGGCGGGGTAGAACAGACGTCCGCGAGAACAGTGGTGGTGGCTCACTTCCGCCGTTTCGTCAGCTCGGGCGACTCGCCAGTCCGAGGAGATAAATATACACATCGGGCGCAGCTTAAATAACACGCGGAGTCACCGTTGCCCACAAGTTGCGCGTCAAAAGAAACGTCACCTTTTATTTATTTTTTTGTTGTTTGCGACGAGCCGCATCGCATTCTGCCACTGGCGCCGTCCGTCGTCGTCGGTGGTGGCAGCGGCTGCTAATTTGTCTGGGGTCAGCTTGGTCATCCCAGCGACCGAGGGCGACAGAAGCGTGTGAACGCGAGGCCCGAGAGTGACCGCATTTTCCGAGTATAGTCGGCGTCGGATCACGTAACTGCACGGACCAGTTGGCACGGCGGTCGGTTGCTCGCTTCGAGAGCCGGACTTCTTCGTGTCGGGTGCGTGCGACACGGCTTGTTGATCCGGTGCTCGAACGCGGTAGATGCACTGGACTCCGGCCGAACTGTGTAAGTGGTGCCCGGCGCACGATCCCGCATTCTCAGGCTAACGGAACTTCCTTGGAGGCAGGATCGAGGTGGAGCGACCGCATCTGGGACATCTTTAAACCGCGGGGGAGTTATGTATTGTGTGTGATGTTACCCCTCAAAGCCGGTTGTATGGGTGCGGAAAAATTCGTTTTGAGCACCGAACGATTTGTGCACAGTTTGTTGAGCCTGGGCTCTCGAATCCGATTTCTTTTATTTCTTTACCCGGCTCTCACCTTACTACTTGCACACAGACCCGTGTGTTCATAAGTGTGGGCATAGTTGAAAGAGGCATCATCAACGATGTCGATGCCACTTGCAAGGACAGTCAACGTCGTCACTTTAAAACTCCCCACTTAAAAAGCCTATTGCAACTTTTCACAAGATAGCCCACTGCCACACGATGGGCAACGAAATAGAATTAACATCTCCCAAGTATTGCTGATCATGGATCGGCTTCAACAGAATTACGAGAAATTATGTGACTCAACTTATATGTCTACTGTATCTGTACCTTTGCTTGCTTTAGTTGGGTCCTCACTCACCCGTGTGTACTGAAAAGGGAATTAAACAACTTTCTGCGATAGCTTATCTATGGTCATGACTCAATCTATGGGCTCTAAGCATCCTAAAAAAAAAAACAAAAAAAACATGACATTCATGCGTGGCCATTTCTCCATTAAAATTGGTATCAAAGATTGATTACCTCTGAACCATCGCAGACACCGGAAGGTGTTCTCGAATGAGGAGAAGCTCTCTTCTCCCCATCTGATAGTTCACAGATAATCAATTAACCACGCATGAATGTCATGTTGTTTTTTAGGATGCTTAGAGCTCATGGATTGAGTTATGACCATAAATAGACTTGCAAAAAGTGATTTATTGCCCCTTTCACCGCCAAACACAGCACGAGTGTCGTGTTCTTTTAGTGATTACCAACAGTTTGCTTATTTTGTTGTGTCCATAACTTTCATAGGAAGGGAGCTCTTTGCTGTCAGAAGTCCGCAATGAGGTTTTCTTTCCTTGTTGACTCGAAAATTCTGCTGTATGAAAGCATTTGTAACTGATGGCCTAAAGTTGGAACCTTAGAAATAGGGGGGGGGGAGGCGCCTTTAGCCAAGTTACGTGAGGAGTATTACGTAAGATTTGGGACCTGTTTTAGGCTCCGCAAGGGAACAACTTGGTGGCTACAGCATCCTCCTCCTTTCGTGTTTGGGCGTGGGGCGCCCCGTTGTTTTTGCGGCTGTCGCATGCCATTGTAGGGGTGAGTTACGGTTCCTCTTTCTGGATGACAGCACAGACCACCGTACACAATGAGTGACATTGGGATTGCACTTCTTTTTTCTTTATGTGTGCAGCAAAACGCGCTCAAAGGATTTTTTTTACTTGTGTTGTCTAATGACATATGCTCTTCGCTCACCTCACAGCTTTGGGTTTTCGACTGTTAGGGCATTTGTGGTTCTTTTCTCAATCTTAATTTGGCTGTCAAAAGACTGGAGTAGCTACAACTGCTGTTTCAGCAGTTTTGTTTTGGTACTTTGTGTTGCAGGCCTGTATACTTATGTGGTCTGTAGGGTTAGGGACGACCCTTGGATTTATTTTCACTGCAAGGAGCAGATGGGGTGAAAACATGGGCGACGTATGTGTAGAATGAATGGAATATTTGGGAAATCATAGTCATGGTTTGATTGCTGGGGGGGGGGGGGGGGGAGAGAGGGAGAGGGGAGGGAGGGAGGGAGAATAGATAGCAGAGATGGGGCATCAAAATCTCTTCAAAAGTTATGGTACTTTTCTCGAATTTTAAAAACAAGGTTTTGAACAATAAGTCAGCATCATTCTCTCGAATTTCCCATAAAAGCGATTTTTCAGGTCACTTGACCATGACAGCGGAATTTTTCGTTGTGGTTATTTGTGCAGACAAAGCACATCTCTGAGCTGCGTACACTTGTTTGTCTATTTGACAGAACTGCCTTTGAGCAATCCTTTGTCTTCAGATTTAGACTGCTTGGCAGCGGCAGCTTTCATCCACTTATTGCACATCTTTTATTGGATTCGGATGCTATCAGCAGATCTGGGGCCCTAATCTGGACACTTGGCGAGAAACTCGGCGAGAAATCTGGCGGGCGTGATTGGCCGGCATCGCACTTGACCTTGGCGCCGACCAACCAGAGCCGCGGGATTTTTCGCCGACTTTTTCGCCAAGTGTCCAGATTAGGGCCCCTGGGCAGGCATGATTAGCAGATGTCCGTCTTCAGCTGCAAACTCGGAATCTTCAGTTCAGGGTCTCTTCAGGGTCTGTCTCACAAGCTGCAAACTTATTTTCTCTTTGGGAAATTCCGGTGAAAATGCACGTTAAAGGTGAGACAGAGCTCGTTAACCCCTTGTATAATAAATATACTTTTTGTGAAACTTTCAACAAAACACAATCGAGTTTACCGTGGAGGGATTTGTTGAAGTGTCCTTAGTGTAAGGTACAGTTACCAGCAGGGCGGCCAGTATGTGACACAAATGAAGTGACAGAAGCGCTGCACCATTTGCTCCAATTTACACCATGAGAGAAAGTCTACTACATCTTGTGCCAAAATGCCATTTTTGTTAGGAATTGTGCCAAGCCTGCGCTGAAATAGGCTTAAGCTAAGTCAAAAATGAAAAGTACTTTATTCTCGGTTGATTTTAATATAGAGAAGAGTGCGAGGAAAGGAAAATGGCACAAATATGTATTTCACAGTATCTTTACTCAAGGTATAGTTTGTTTCATCTTAGGTCAGAGCACAGTCAAAGGTTCTAACACATACAACCATAAAGACACATACTGAAGGCGCAAGTTACAAGGCATAAGCTCTACTTGATTGATCTAGTGATGAAAGAACATGCACAGGAAGATTAACGAATGCCCTAATGTCGCGCTTTGGCACTAGTTGGTTGGTGCCATTTGCTTGTAGCGTCGGCTGCGCTTTCAAATAAGACGAGACGAAGTTTAAAAATTGCTCGTCAACCGCGCTGGGCGGTTGATCGCCGACATGGTCTAAATTTCCACGCGGCATTGGCAGCCAAAGGTCACGAGAAAACATTGCTGTGATAAGCCAGAACTGGGGTTTTGTACTCCTGATGAGATCACTTGATTATCATGTGTGCCGCTTGCCTCCGTGCGCCTCTCAGCAGTGTTTGTGTCAAGCTTCACTGCTTTGGACCCGAGTGCTGAGTGCAGAGGTGGACACGGGGGAGCGCCCGGCCTAATGCGATGGGCTCAGAACTTTTCCAGGTCTACCTTTTTTGGTCTTGATTTTAGGTTGCTCTCCAATTTTTAAAAGCTGCTACGAGATAATAAAAAAAAAAGGCAGGTCTTGATTTGAATAAATGTGGTACTTAAAGGGGCCCTGCAAGGACTTTTTACTGTTTTTTTTAATTTGCACCGAACCTGAGCGCACTGAACGTAGTAACTTAGTGAAACTTTTCTTTTCGCGAAATTCGCTTTATTTTAAAAGTTATAGGCAGTTTAGAATTACAAAAACAAGCAAAAAATAACCTCCTTCATGACGTCGTAGGTCCTGGCTTGAGTGGCCGTGAAGTAGAGGAGGAGTAGTGAGCTCATCGAGCGCTCACGGCCGCCGCACTCGGTGTCGACGGCGCCAGAGGGCGCCACTAAACCATGTTCTGGATAGGCTGTATGCAGCGGGCAGCCAAAGCGGCTTTCATTGCGTTTGCTGCGCGATTAAACACTAATTCGGCATGACACTTCATTGGCCACAAACGACAGCAAACACGGGGTAAAGATCAGTTCAGAATGGGAGCCACTTCGCGCTGCCATACCGCGAAACGACCAAACCGCAAGACAGAGCCTCTCGCCGAAGGCCTTCGGAGCGCTCGGAGCCGGTCGAATCCTCCTGTCCATACGACTGCAGCGCCACCGCGTACATCCGGGATTTTTCCGAGTCGGTGCCTTATCCCCCTACTCCTTTCTAGTATGCGCCGCCTTTTCCACCGCTTGGTGGCGGGTATGTTGACAGGTCATTTCTTGTTTCCGTACTTTATAAACTGCATTTCTTTCTTTTTTTCATCTATAATAGTGAACAAAAACTACTTTTATAAATAATTGAAACGGTTCGCGCCACTTATATTTTGTATTTCGACCAAAAAGAAGCTTTTAGCAGCTCTGTCCAGTAGTAAGCCCAGGACCAAAGACGTCACATTTTGCGCGCTTTCGGTACCGCGGGTCGCCCTTGTCGGTGGAGGAGGTTTC